TAACTCCCTACTTAATAGTTCATCAACTATTAGTATAATTTTTCTACAATGTTATCAAATAATTTATGATCCTATATGGTATAAATAAATAAATAAATAAAATACCCATTAAAATACTATATATATAAAATTAATAATTGATGGAATAATTTATTTATCTAATAAATAATAAAATTAAATTTTAAGGACATATGTCTAACGCATTCATCATTATATATGATTCATCAAAGAATATTCATTGATTTAACAAATATATTTATTTGCCAAAAACAAAACTTCTATATAATTTAGCCCTTAAGCTATAAAAATTGTGTCATTGTCATTATTTGACTCTTATAAAAGGATTTTATATTCGAAAATATGTCAACAGTAATATTGATGTTTTTCCTTTATATCTGTGCCTTTTACGGTGACGTTATAAAAAGTTTAATGATAACAAGGAAGACCAATTCACAAAAGTTGTAACGTTAAATTGCTTGCAAGACAAAATAACATAAAAACTCTTTGACCATTACGCAAAAGTTTGTAATGATAAATTAAGGTTAATTTTTTTAAAAAAAAGTTTTTATTTTTTATTTATTTCTAAATAAATATTTATTTTAAAATTTTTTTATTCAGATAAACATTTATTTTAACTCATGACTAGTTGAATTTCTTCTCACTCATGCCCTAAGGTATTCCTTTTTGAACATTAAAAATTGGCTAACTAAAATGATCATGTCTTTAAAAAGAATTTCCCATTAAACAATTTCTTACGTAACAAAAACTACGTCAATACTCGTGTGTGTGCAAAAGATATCAATTGATCAGTCAGTGATTATGTAATAAACATGATATATTTTTGTCAACATAAAGATTTATTTAAGTGTAAGTCATAGAATAGAAATTTATCTTGGTATAATAAAAAATAAATTATTTAGATAAAATATGAAATATTAAGGACTTATATTTTAGTCATAAATAAGTATATTAATAAAATTTTTATTTTAAAAATTGTATTGTGCATTTAGTGCTCTAAATTTGAGAAAAATCAACATTATTTTTGGTCTGACTCATTTTTTTTGGGATATCTTAAAATTATACTTTTTTAATATCAAATGTTTTTACATTTTTATATTCCAAAAAAGAAAAAAAAAGTATTAAATACAAAAATTTGAGTAAAAAAGCTCAAAGTGAAGAGTAAATATTTGGTGAAGTGGCAAGTAGCATTGGAAGTCCAAACCCAAAAAAAATAAAAAAAAATCGAAAGGGATGGCGATGGGGCCAGAATTGAAAATGTGAAAACTACTGTTAACGCCCTGCATTAAGATTTATATATATATATATATATATATATATATGCATATGCATGAATGGCGTCATGATTTTGATTGGAAAGTTGATGCTTTCGTCGGGTCTTTTTCCATCAATAATGAGAGAATTCATGCTAGGTGGATTACTTGCTCTTTTTCCTATCTTTTTGTCGAGTATATTCTATATAAGTTTTTAATTTAAAAGTTATTGTAAAATTTTTATAAAAACTAATAATTTTTAAAATTAAATTAAAATTATTTAATTAATAACTTAACAAAATAAATTATATAAAGTTAAAATTATCATAAAAAATATTCATATTATCTTCAATTATCTATTAAATCAAAACGAAACAAATCTGTTTTGAACTTATATACGATTTCAGATGTTAAAATTAAATAAATACATATAAAAATGAAACTGCTTTCAAATTTTATATAGTAGTAATAGTATTAAATTTTTATTGATTTAATAAGTAATCGAACCATGATACTTTAAATTCTCAAAAAAAAAGAAAAAAGATAGACGATATATTTGATATTAAAATCCTTTTAGTGAAGAAAAGAGAAAAGTAATTTTAAATTTTACGTCTTATTTTCTCTTAATTTTTGAAAGAACAAAATATCTCAAAATTTGTTATTTTATTATTGGGTCTTTTATTTTATTTTAGTAATTTTTGTAAAAAGAGTTAAAAGAGAAAGCGATCTTAATTTGCATTAGAGAAAGATGATTTGCAGAAACCAAAAGAAGAGAAAGAAATATTTTTTGAAAAACTGACATGTTTTTAAATAAAAGAAATAAAAAACTCTTTTTTAGAGCTTCCAATAAAGTTTTAATTTTTTTTAAAAAATCTTATTTGACATAATTTTTATTTTTAAAAAATAAATAAAGTAAAAAAAAATCAAGTCAAACAAACACTCCACCCGAAAGAACCCAAACCAAAAATTCTTTCCCACTTTCACTCTAATTAATTTTACCAATGGAGAGATTTAACCTGGAAACCTTCGCATTTAAGCTTTCCATCATGAAGTTGGCGGATTGATGGCAACGTGCCCCGTTGCCAGTCTTATGCACAAATATTAACCATACAAAATATATTCAAAGGTTTGACTTCAATTCTGCTGCCAGATGATTTGCACTGACAACCTAACTGCAAAATTTCAAGAATGTCTTTTTCTTTTTTGTTTTTTTTGTTGGGTGTAAATTAACGAGAGCATGACTTCATCTAACCACCCTTTGTCACAATTAATGCAATTATCAGTTTGAAAGGAAATCTTTATTTTTTGAGTATTTGGAAATAATATGATGTAGAAAATTAATGATTGGACATTTTCAACATTTAAGTGCTAGTTTTTTTTAATTAAAAAAGAGAAATAGAAAATGATTCCTAGTATAAAAATTGTGAAAAGAAAATGCTATCCATCAAACATGGTTGATTGAGAATATGAAGGATGTGACATTCTCTTCTTCATGGAGAAAGGCTAAGACCTTTCAAAGATCATGAAAATCTCACCACTCTGCCAAACCTATAGATGTGTGTAGGTATGATCATAATATAAAGAGCTAATTTTGGTAAAGAAATGATCATTTTTTTTTATGGAAAATTAAATAATCTACTCAATCCAATAGTTATAATGTGATGGTATTCACATTTTGCATTTATTAAGTTGTTAAAAGCACTATAAACCAATTAAAAAGTGTTAATAAACCACTGATCTTTATTTCATTATACAGGAGGCTGAATTGTAATCCCATCTTAATCTAATCGACACATCATGGTATAAAGAAGTTGGTGCCTCAAAAGGATCCCACCCTTGAGCAGCTTCGGAATATATATATATATATATTTGCATCTCCATATTCAATTAGAAATTGGAAATTGAGACTTGATTTAGAATTTTTAGACTTGAGTCTTAATGTTGGAAGAGAGAATGTATGAGATAACAAAAGATTACTTTTGGCTGTGTAAAATGGGATCATATATGTATATATATATATATATATATAAAACAAAGTTTGGGATTCATGAGATGTTAGAAAATGTAAAGCTCAAAATCTTTATAGGCAACAAATAAATAAAACCAGTATATTTATAATGTGCATGTCAACTTACGACTTGAATCATTGCATCATGATAATGGTGAACATGGTTAGATGATTATGATCACTCACTGTAACATCAGAATAAAAGCAAAGAGGTAAAAGAATTAAGATGAAACCTGACTGGGATCATGATAAAAGAATTCAGATCTTGTAACAATCAGAAGATGAAAAGAAGAAGAAAAAAAACCAAACTCAAGTTTTGATTATTGCAAGTTTGTGCAGAGGGAATGATGGAAGTTTCTTGTACCATTCAACTGTTATAATAATAATGTCATGCCCATGTGGAGTGGTGGTCATCGGGCATGGCCAGTCTCCATAACTTTTCTCTCCTGTCATTTTCTTTGCCAGCTACAACCTGCTATTTATTGGATTACAATTACAATTCTTATCCCCCTTTCTCTCTTTTCCCACCTCTGTTTTTCATTCCATTAATCAGATTGTTACCATAAATAATCACTAGTCAGCAAGGCTTCATTTTATTATTAGGAAAATCATAAAAAGGCCAAAAAAATAATAACAATCCGAAAGATCCCAATTAGAAATTGAAGTTTCGTGTTTGGAGTTTCCATTATTTATAGCTAAAAACATTATTTCTATCTCTCTTTACCATAAATAATCACTAGTCAGCAAGGCTTCATTTTATTATTAGGAAAATCATAAAAGGCCAAAAAATAATAACAATCCGAAAGATCCCAATTAGAAATTGAAGTTTCGTGTTTGGAGTTTCCATTATTTATAGCTAAAAACATTATTTCTATCTCTCTTCTTCAAATTTTAGATTATTTAATGCAATTCTTATTATTATTATTATTATTATTATTATACATAATATTTTAAAAAAATTATTAAATTATTTTTAAAAAATTTAAATAAATTTTTATATTTTTATTACATTCAATTAAATATTTATATTTTTATTTTAAATCAAATAAACTCTTATAATTAACTGTTGATTAACTAACTATTGTTACTCTAACCTATCATGTTAACATATAATAATAAATGATAACGTAACATGTAGATATAATCACGTGATATTTATACTCTTCACGTCAATACCACAACAGTACTATATGATATTAAAAATATTAAATAATATTTTAATTAATGATAATTAATCAAACATTAATCATAAGAATATATTTGATTTAAAATAAAAATATAAGAACTTAATTCAACGTAATAAAACAATAAAAATTTATTTAAATTTTTTTGGATAGTTTAGAGTTTTTAAAAATATTATATTTTAATAATAATAATAATAATAATAATTATTATTATTATTATTATTGGAGTGATATTTTGAATTGTACGGATTTTTAAAAGAAAAAGACAAAATTGAGCTGTATGAAGCTTGGGCCATTTGCAAAAGGTTGGGCCTTTTATGCTTCACCAGGTTAGGTTAGTCACATTAATCCCACGTGCCCCACGTGTCAGAGGTATAGGTACGACTGGACCATGCTGCTTCTCTCAGCTCATGCCCATCTTAAAAGATAGTCACAAGCTGTCGTGGAATGGGTTTAAGCAGTGTGGCAAAACAAGATATGCAATGCAACCTGCAACTTGACTTATTTTGTAATAGGATAGGAGAGCTCACTACTGTATTGCAGAGATGGAGAAAACATTTTCTCATTTTTATTCAATTATACCCATTTCTATGGTTTCTACACCCTATTTTTATTGTTCCAAGGTTCCCTCTATGAGTTCCTTCAATTTTATCAACCCTGAATGCTTCATTAAAGTGACAATCTTGTAAAAGAGTTTGTGAATCCATATTCTTACTGATAAACTTTTGTCGGCAGTCGAGATCCATGGCCATGCTCAACCTACAATTTTTTCACATGAACCAAGGCTCCACCCTTGTTTCCAGATTCAAGCATTGCCTCTAACACAGCAACATCCCTCGCACCTTCCACATATGAGCTGCGAGGTTCAGCTTCATAGCCACTTCCCTCCTGCAAAAACGTATACAACAGGATCAGGGTCATTTCAAAAGTAGTTTGTAGGGGAACAGGCGCATACAAGCTAGCATTGTTCTTGAACATTCACAATTTTATTCAGCCAGAGAGAATTACCAAAAGAAATCAGGATAATCTGATATGTTGCCTAATTTATAAAATTAAAAAAGAAAAGAAAAAAGAATCGCATCTAAACATTTGGCTTAATGGTAGGTGCATTTATTTCTTGTTCAAAGAGCTGTGTCCAAATCCTCCCTTCCCAAATAAACAAAAAAAAAAGAAATGCCACCAAAACTATTTGAGTAGTTCAGGTAATTTAAGAGAATAAAAAAAACATATAAAGAAATCTGAGAATACATATTAAACTTAAACCAACTCACACATTCATCCAATGCTGGGACAGACTATTTTTATCTATAGAAAAGCTCACTCTAATGAGAATAGTGCATAGACAATCAAAAATAGATTAACACTGTTGCCTAATAATTATCTAATGATCCTGTCAGTCAAAAATTGATGCTGAACACCTTTGAGAGCAACACAAATACTAGTATGCAAGTGGTGGAATGAAAAATGCAACAGCTAAAACATCATGAACTTAACATCAGTTATTACCTTCAGGGTCGCCCGTAGAATGTCATGTATAAAAGCTTTTAATTCTTCATGTACTCCACAGAATGGGTAGAATGTGCTTTTGCATTGCCCATCTGCACTGTATAGTGAAACCTGAGATGGCATTTCAAGATATCAACAGAAGGATGTCATTTGTCACAAATTGATCAACAAAAAACTCCAAAAAAGCTTTAGAATTTAAAAAGAAAGTATATCAAGAAGAAATTTCCAAAGTAGCTTTAGAATTTAAAAAGAAACTACAAATCTCAGGAAAAGTTCAGGACAGGAGTTTCAACATGTAATGAATCAGCATTGCAAGAATAAAATCTGGTTTACCAGGTAACCATGCCTTCCCTCTTGTTTTCCACGCTCAACTTGTACTGTTCCTTTCATGCCGACTACTCGCCAAATTACCTAAAACCACTAAAAATTATGAGCACAGCATAACAATGTATGCATAAATTGTTTTAAGTATCTCTCCACTGTATACCTTAGGTGAACTCGAGGATACAACCATCACAAAGACTCCAGAGCAGCCATTCTCCAGCTTACTGAGGCAAGCAAATTTTATTTCAAGCCTTTAGCCTTTCATTTCTAAGATAAAAAACGTAGACAGAAAATCAGTTATATTCTGTAGCTAACTCACAAATTAGAAGAAATGATATCTGGAGGAGGTAAAGTTGTATCTATATGAGAGGTTATAGCCGATACCGAAGTCACCTCACAACCAACCATCTGCTCAGAAGAAAGGGAAAGTCATATTGCAAATTTATTGGTAACTAAATAAAAATTGAGCCATTTCATACATAGCATAATAATAATCAAGCTTAACTTTAGCATCTAATTTTGCTTCTATTCATTTTCTTCTTATCTGCATTGGGTAGAGGGTAGGGATAAGGGAGCCCCAGTAGGGGAATTCAAAGAGTTGATGGATGGGTTTCTCTTGATGTGTTTTGCTAATTGTTTATGCTCTTGATTGTACGGCCTAGTATCTTGATATTTTCTATCCCACCATCAAAAACTATGACTAGTTAATGTAATTTTAAAAACAAGAAATGAAGTTAATCATCCAGCTGGGCTTCAACAGTTATTTGTCAGGCCATAAAGAAACCTGGTCATAGATTGACATGATTTGCACGGAGCATGATGCTTGCCATTTTGGAAGAAAATAGCAGCTATAACTTTACATACAAAAGAATAATCCTTTGAGAAACATAGTTGCTCTTCTCTTCTCTTGCCTTTAGAGGGAGAGAGTGAGAACAGTTTCTCTTCTCTTCTCTTGCCTTTAGAGGGGGAGTGTGAGACGGTATGATATCCAAAAAGGATCCTAAGAAGAGTTAATTAGCCATTAAGATGGTGGAAGAGAGACGTACCATCCTCAAACCAGCAATGAAATGCACGCCCATATCCAAAATAAAACCTCCCTGCCAAAATGAAAGATTTTCTTGTCAATGTAACAGGCAAAAATGTAGAGAAAATTATAATGTACATTATGTAATGGTATTTAACCACCCATATTTTGGCTTGTTAGCTTGGTGTGCTTGGGTCAGAGTTCTCAAGCGAGAGTACTGTAACAATAGTATTAGCAAGTGTTTTATGCTTGAGGGCATTTATTTGATTTGGTACGTTTTGTACTTGGTATAAATTGTTAGCTGTTTTGAGTGAGTAGTAGAAATATTTTACACCTTCATCAGTACTGGTTTATGTGGTATCAGAGCTTGGTGTGAGACTTAATTTGGCTTTCGTCCCTAGTGCAATTGAAGACTTTGTTTAGCTGTGGCTGGTCCTTACTCTTTGTTTTAGCTCTGTTTTGTTGATTCTAGTTCTCTGTTTTCATTTATCTTGGCTTTTCAGCTTTTAGAGCATTAATCTCAAACAGCAATTTTATCACCTGGGAAATTATTTTTGACTTTCAACCTCCTAGTGAGGGTCCTTGTGATAGGTTAGTTGGCAATCTGGTTTGTTTCCTATTTGTTGATTATAAGCTTTGTTACTATTTGATTTTTGGTTTCAAAGGCAGCTGATGAGAGACATTGGCTGTCAAACTGGATGGGAAAATTTAGCCCTCCTAGAAATTTCCTTTTAAATTCTTTGTTTGAGGAAAAAGCTCATGGGGGAATATTGATGGAACAGAAACTCAATCAGATGTATCAAATGTAAAAGAAAATCAACGATGGAGGATGAATAATGCAAAAACTTTTTCTTGGATATTGACTTTTAGGGAAACAGTGGAATTCCATGAGAGGTTAGTGTAATGCAAAAGAGATGTAGGAATATCTTGGAAAGGTGTATCAACAACCAAACTGGGCAGGAAAATTTCAAAATGAATTTGAGATGTTCAAGTATGGACAAGATGAGAAAAGTGTGCAAGATTATTATGCCAGTTTAATGACCTTATGGATTGAATATAAGTTTGTGAATATAAAGAATGTAAATACAGCTTGCAACATTTCCCTCATGGATTAAATTTTAGGTGAAGTTCCATGGGTGAAGGCAAGAATTTCAAATTAAGTTATTCTTGAAAAGGAGATTAATAGTTGATAAAGTATTTCGTTGCTAAAAGAACTAGAAGAAAGACATCTCAAAAAAGATCCCTATGCAGTATTTTGAATGTAAAGAATTTGGCTATATAGCCTCTGATTACAAGATGAAGAATGCTGGTGCCTACTCCAAATAATCACAATATATTGAGACAAATTGATGAGATTGAGAAACACAAGGGTGAGCTTTGTATGTGTAGAGCACCTGTGGTGGTTGGCTGACTCTTTACACAACAAGTGGAAGAGCTGAAGCCTAAGCCGTTTGTAGGAAACCACTTAGAGAAGGATGTTGATAATTTTGTGTAGGGCACGGAGTGAAACATCCAAGTGGTGTTTATGTAAAGAATATAATTCAAAACCAAAACCAGATCTTCAGCATTTTCTTAGTCATGCAAAAAGGTTTCAAGACCTAATTTAGAAAATCTTTTCTTTAATCATATTCTACAATTGAAAGTTTTTCTAAGTGAGATTTTCTTCCTAGAAAATCCAAAACCATATTTGTTAATTTTCTTGAAATTTTTTAATCAAAACACGTAATATCAACCAACCAGGTACCTCTATTCATTTTCCAAACTCATTGAGCAAAATAAGAGCAATCTTTTATACAAAAGTCCTAATATTAATGGATTAAAAAAAGTTAATGACACCATAAAACTCACCCCTCTTTCATATTTGGAATCTGTGAAGAAGAGGTCTTCAGCAGAGGGATTAGATTTGGTAGGGACATGACTGTCATTCTTATAGACGGTGACAAAATGTTGACTTAAAAATTACATTCTACTATCAACAATGGTGCCCAGCTGAAACTTGCAAGACGGATAATAGTGCAAGAGCTGGAGTTTTACTCTAGCCAACCCTTTGATGATTACGTCAGTGAAGTGTAGAAAAATAGAGAGAGAGTGAAGAAAGAATCAGTAAGAAGTTGAGGTGAGCCCCCTTGTGTAGACAACCTTATCATAAATATCAGTGTTGTCAAGATGTGAACCTACACGCTAAGGCACAATGCTAATCAAGCAAAGCACCTCACACCCCTTTGGTGAGGTGCCTTATATAAATCAAATGCTCTTTTGTGCCTAGGCACTCTTTGTTAAGGTGAAAGGTGCATCAAAAGCATGTGTGATTTCCGCATCCCTTTGGCTTTTTAGTTATATTTATAATAGTTAAAACAGGACTATGTCAACTACCTTTAGACGAATAAAACACTAGGTAATAGGTAATATGGTAGATGCTTAATTTTTCATTGAAGATGGAAGTAAGCATTGAGCTTTGTTAGATGTTGTTAGATGTGATAGTTCTTCATCTTTGAACACGAGACAATGAAATGCTGGCAACTCTTTAATATTTATTAACAAAATCACATATTTAAAGCTTATTAGATATAATACATAGAGTTTTCTTTGTGTGCAATATATTATTTTTAAGAATGTAGCACCTTTCTTCACTTAGGCAAGTATTTTTTGCATCTTCTGCCTCAAGCAATGTAAAAGTCCTAGCACCTTGTGCCTTTGACAACATTGATATGCATGTATGTACATACAAATGTATATATAATACATAGAATTTTCTTTGTGTGAAATATATTAATTATATTTAAGAACTTAGCACCTTCTCTCAGGCAAGTATATTTTTAGTGCCTTGCGTCTCAAGCAATGTAAGAGTCCTATTGCCTTGTGCCTTTCACAACTTTGATATAAATGTGTGTATATACATAAGTACATACATACCTACATACATATAAGTTTTTTGTGTATAAAAGGGGGAATTCACCTACATCCATATAAAATTAAAGAGTTTTACGCACCTCTTTGACTATTGGATCAAAATTAAATCCAAGGCTAAGATTAGAAATTTTTTTGTTACTCATCCTAACTTTTCTCTCCTCATTTCTTCTTCATTTTCTCTATTTTCTAGCTTTTTCTACTAAATCTGCATCTCTTTACGGCTTTCAACAACTCAAATCTCTCAAACAAATATTTTATATTCATAGATTGTAATCTCAAAATTAGTGTCCAGGTAGCCACTCTCAAAGACACATAACTATAAGTGAAGAAGATCCATGACCCAACCAAATCTTTCAATTGCCTCCAACAGGCTTAACCCAAATTTTATTAGCTGATGCAATTGTTGGGGCTTTCTCTCATCTAGATAAAGCTTAAAATCTATTTATGTTGTTTTCCTTTAACCCTAAAAAGTAGAATGATGAACTCCTATAATACTTAGTAATCAACAATATCAACAAAACAAAAAAAAAATGGAAAAGAGACTCCAAAAATTACTTCAAAATGATGAATATCCATCAGCTTGGTGAAAGCGAGAAATAGAGAAGAAACGATAAAGAGCAGGCAATGATTGAAAAAAAGGTTTCAATCTTAGTCATAGATCTAATTTTGATCCAACATTAAAAAAAAAAGCATAAAACTTTTCTGTTTTACATTGATGTAAGTGGATCCCTCCCCATATATATATATATATATATATATATGTATAGAATATTATGGTACGAAGAATTACCACAATGTACTTTATTATTTCCCCCATCTGTAAATAATATCAACATGTACTTTAAAAAAAAAAAACATGTACTTTAAAAAGGTTTAGCAAGGGCTTTACGTTTAAAGGTCTTTATTTGTTCCTTTTATACTTACTATAAACAGCAAACTGTTTAAGGGGTGTGCATGAGACATGTTTTACACAGCTTCCCCTATCTTAGTTTATTAAACAATTCAAGCATGCTAATAAAGGTCATAGAACTGATAGTATCAATATTCATGCTGAGATGACCCTCGAATTTCAAGATTCACAGAACACATACTACAAGAAACAACTGTTGGCTTATTGTACCCATGCCAAACACATATAAAGTATAAATATCTCAAATAAACACGACATTTAGGGTCGAACCTCACACATATAGATACAAACATGAAAAATCAAACAAAAAATTAGTGGATGTGGGAACGTGTTTGGCATCTGTATTCCACTCAGCAACATCGCTTCTCATTTTAGCAAGGAATGATTTATAAATCTGATTTATCAATCTCTCATTGGGTGAAGTATAATGTTTAACTATGTGTTGGAAATAGTTTAGGCCATCGTGATAGAGGGTATACTTAGACAGAACAGCTTGTGCACAAGACAAGAAGCTTACGTCATTAGATATCATTTTGAAAGAAATACCTCAAAATTTCGCCTCCAAGAGCTAGAGAAATAAGGATTTGAACTATTCATCGAACCTTCAATGATAATTTGGACATTCATCATATCCCCAATGTCAGCAATTAGTTTCTTGCTCTGCAAAAGCAAAGAAATTTGAAAGTTGGACGGCAGTGTAGATTTAACAAAAGCAGGAATGCGCAAAAGAGTACCTCTACAAAGGCAGGTTCAAATCGATAGTTTTCTGCTACAGCCCAAATTGGTTGACCAGGGTTGCTGCAAATGGATTTGTAACTAGAAAGTGCAGTTTCTATCTCAGTTGTGCCTACAATATAAAACCATTCCAGTTTCTAAAGAAATCAAATCCCATAAATACTTTTTCTTCTTTCTTTCTTTCTTTGTTTGGGTGGAAAGAGGATGAGAGAGAAGTTATTTTAAAAGCTCATAGCACCATATATAATCTAAACAAGAAGGATCTTGAAGAATATATATCAATAAAATTATTCTGATACCAAATATTGTCAATATTGCTTTGGAAAAAATTTTTGAAAGTTTTGTTCTTGAGTATCAAAGAGAAAAATTTGTTTCCAGTAGCAAAATATTTTTGCTTCTGTCCAAAAGTGAAGTTTGTAAATGGAAAAAGCTTTAAACAAATCTTTGCTTTTCTGTCTTCATTTTGCTGTCTTAGGTGATCTGGAGAAAGTAGACAACATTGTCAAAACATACTACATTTGTAGTACAAAGAACTGGAAGTTGTGGAGACCTGTCATCCTTCAGACTTTTGGTAAGATGTATTTTACTTCTGATTGTTGTTTCCAGCCTCTAGCATTTTGTGCATTCTATCTTTTGTTAATAATTCTTTGATTCATGTTTTGTTATGTGCGTATGTTAAGTTCATAATAAGTAAAAATTAAGAGAATAAAGGATACAAATACCATTTTCTAAAATTAGAAACCAACTGAAGAAAATTTAACTGAAACAGTATTGAACTTACTAGCTGCTGCAGGTTTCTCTAGAGATCCATGAGTTAGCCAGGTGATACATATGGCACATGCAAAACAAAAGGAAATTTAGTGCATTACGCATGGAAGAATAAACAACAAGACTAATATCTAATCATATAATCCAAACTATGATTATGCTAGCTATGTACTACAACATATCTAGGAGGTGCATCACCTGTCTCTCCTGCCTTTCATTCAAGAAAAAACAAGGGGAAGGGTGGGATGCAATTTTGTTTGATTTTATTTTCTTTGAAAGGAAAAAGTAGGGTGGTGGTTGAATATAAAGAGAATCTATGAAACAAATTGAAACTAGAAAAAGCTAATCAGCCTCATTAAAAGAACAAAAAAACATAGCGCACTTGTCTTTACGGTTAGAACATAACAACATATCTCACCTTGAATGACATGCTTCCCTCCTTTTAGCAACTTCAGTGAGATATCTACCTGCATGGTTTATTTTCACAAAAGAGACAACAATCCACTAATTAGTAGAATTAGTATAATGTCATGCTAAATTGTACAATGTTCTGGTGAAGAAATGTAGGCAGGATATCGAAAAGGTATTTGCTAAAAGTATCTCTCATAAAGAGTTGGATTGAACTCTAATTATTACAGCTTTGTCACAGTTAATTTTCTGAGTCATCTACCTCTGCATGGTGTTTGTAATAACATAAACTTCACAAGAAATTCATCCAAAAAAAGATAGGCATATTTTAAGAGTTAGGCAAGCGTTAACAAAATTAGATCAAGATGAGGATAAAGAAGTAGGAAAGAGACCAAACAATGAGAAAACTCCCAAAGGATGATTAGCAAGTATAAAAATGTAAATTTGTTCTCCATCAAAGTACTACTTTCTGTACGAGACAATTTGAAAGCAAATACTAAATACAACGGCGCACCCGAGCATTTGGCTCATTAGTTGGTACATTATCCTTCTGCTTGAAGAGCAAGGTTTGAATCCCCCTCCCCAATTATATATATATATGTAAAATACTAAATACAAAAGCAACAGTTCAATAAACTTATTAATGGCCATTCAAGGTGCTTGATATAGAAAAGGCAGCAACAGCCCAATAGTTACATGACATGAACATTCATATTTTACTCATTTTACAAATGCAAAGCCATCCCAAACCGTTTCGCCTTAAAATTTTCTGGCAAATCTTAATGAGTGATTGAATGGCGCTTATGAAGGTACTATTTATAAAAACATTTTCAAATTCAAATGCAGTAGTTTGATATGTATGTATACACACAACAAAGTTTGTGGAGAAAATAATGATGAAGAAATGTGAAGTAAAGAACCTGAGCTTGGCCAGCCAAAACGACAGCAGCACCAAGAATAGAAGCATCTTGAATGATGTCGTTTAGACCTTGGTCTCCCCACTTACATTCCACTCCAGGGAAATGCTGCTTCGCTAACTCAACAGCTCCTCTGGCAGATTCCTTCTCATGGTCATCAACAAGATCATTACTATTTCAATAAGCAGCAAAACGAAGAAAGAAATCTTTCAATGAAAAAAAAGAAAAACCTGTGTACGGCTCCAGATGTATTTGAGGCAGAGGAGATGCGAGATCTCGGCGAGTCTCGGGATGTATTGGGTTTTTACGAATATTCCGGCTCCCACAACCGCGATTTGTGGAGGGGCTGCCATGCTTGAGGTTTCTTCTTTTCTTCTTTAATTGTAAATCCAAGCAATGGTGGAGGTTGGAAGGGGTTTAAATTGTGGGATGTGGGAAGAAAAATGTGTTATGAAACTGAGAGAGACTGTTTAAGCCTAAGCCCGAGGCTGTCCTCTCTCACAGGTTTTTCTGTTGGGAAACTCTCAAACTGCTCCTCATCATTTTGCTATTTTCCAATAAATAGATTAATAAAGAAAATAAAAGAACGATTTTTTAAGAAAGAAATTGATGTCAAAACGACACCTCTTTGGCCGTTGGACCGTATATTGTTTTAAACATGTCAACAGATGTAGCAGAGAACTGATGGAGTTAATAAGTCTCCTTGAATGAATAATTTTGGAGAGTACAACTTAATTTCTTCGATTAATAAACTTAATCCAACATTTTAGGTGACTATAGGTTTAAATTTACAATTGATTAAAGTAATTAATATAATAGAGGTAATAAATTTCTAAAACCAGTCCTTTTTTTTTGTTCTTTCATTTCAATGAATATTGCATATTTATAACGTTTTGATTTTTGTCTTTTCGTAGTCATGATCTATCAGTTTCAAAGTTGAGGAGGATATTTTGAGTTTAAAATATGCTCAATCAATCTCTCAAATCGATTTGCATATCTTTAAATTAATAATATGTTTTTATATTGCTATTTTCAAGATTAATTATACATTTTTCATATTTTAATGAAAATTTTTAATTTATAATTGAGATTTTTTAATATGGTTTATATATAATAATAAAGAATGTGTAACTCTATTGTTGAATCAAAATACCATTTATTTATATTTTATAACTATAATGTAGAAATATATTAACAACACACATTTAAATATATATATATATATATATATATTTACATCTAATGGATGTGATCATGTACTTGTTGGATTTAAAGTGTCTTATTAAGTATATTAGAATATGACTCATGTATTGTATACGAATCAAATATAAGACACTCACACATGCGTGCAAAACCTATACCCCTTACACCATAAACAATTTTAGACCTCTTTTAGAAATACTATTCAACCTTTCTAAACACTCTTTAAAGCCGACACATGATTAAACAAAGAAGTCCTTTCTGAAGCTTCCTTTTACATATGTTATAAATAGATTAAATTTTTTTTAATTAAACAAAATAAGAAAAGTGATAGGAATAAAGGTATTTATAAGGTGACCTCTAGCTAAGTTTATCAAGTGTTTATTTTTTAAAAATCAAGTTTGAGCTCACCTTAATTGCATTTTTATGTTTTTTGTTATTCTAATAATAAAATATTCTAATATTAATATTTAATATATATTTTAAAATAAAAATAAATGTATAATATTATTAAATAAAATAATTCATTTTAGTCGAGTTGGGTTATACAAATGGGTCGGATTTGAGCTTAAAAGTCTATAAGAAAGTTACATGTAATTGTTTGAAATTTGCATTTAACTCACCATTGATATCAATCATATCATGGGCCATACATGTATAAATGACACAATTAATTTATTTTGGATACATTTTCGTTGTTGTTGTTGTTGTTAATAATAATAATAACAATATTATTATTATTATTATTATTATTGTATTTACTAATTGTCTAGTAATTGCATTTCAAAATTGTCTCCAATTATCGGGGACTTACCTAGATTGTTTCAATGATTCATGTGCTTTGGACTCAATTAATCAATGTTCCATGCTTTTAGGTTTAAATAATAAAAAAAATATTGAACTATATATGTTTTTACGATTCTGTTTTTTTATTTTTATTATATTTGATTAAAAATTATTTTTATTTATATCCAATTAAATTTATATTCTTTTATTTTACTTAATTAAGTCCTTATCTTTTTTTAAAAAAAATTAAGTCCTCGTCTCATAACAAAGATATGATGAACATTATTCCAATGATACTTATTATTTTTTATATATGTGAAATCGAGTGTAACGTACTGATTAAATACAACAAAAATTATTAACGTGACATATCATATCATAACAAATTTCTTGTCACTAGTATTTATTATGTATGGTTAGAGTTTTGATTAATAACCCACTTAACAGTGTCTAGAGAGTCACTTTCAATAAAGATTTTACAAGTATCCATTCATTTTGAGGCAACAAATGCTAACAATGCCTATCTAACAACTAAGATTTTCGCAAGAGTCGAATCACCAAAAAAGTATTGGGTTGCTTCATTAGTTATTTCTCAATTAAGCATTTCAACTATCGCCTGTTTTTTTTCATATTATTAACTATTACATGTTGTGTAGATGACACTCAAGATCTCATGGAAGATGGAAAATCAATTGGCTAAACTTAATGATTGGATCAGAAGCTATCATCTTGATACCAATGAACTTACTGATGATGCTCTCTCAAATTTCCCTATTATCTCAACGGTAAATGATGCTTTTTTATTTAAGGCAATTTATTTCATAATCAAGCAAAAAGTTATTTTTAAAGTTCACTACAATAAGCCCATGCGATGCCCTCGTGCACTATAGGCAATTTTGGAGTTAAACCAAAGTGGTAGAATAAGTATGCAAACAATGATTACTAAAATATATTTACATTTTACTAATCATACTGTAGTCACAGTACATAAATATTCATAAAGCTATTTATCTAGTTGACTGCTCCCTTGTGTCGCAAAAGATATGTTAGTGTTTTGTCATTATTAGTTACAAAAAATTTAAACTATTGTGCCTATACAAAAGGCCAAAAGCTACACAGTTGTTTAAGTGCTAATCTATTTAGAACATGCAGTCGTAAAGAGTTGTGAATAAAGGTTGCAGTAGAGGTTGCTATCTTTATAAAAAAAAATGACAACTTTTAACTCTAATTGTTGTTCGTCTTGCAACCACATGGTTATGAATAGAAGTTTACAATTGTTGCCTTCGCTAACTTTTCCGTTGGTCTACCAAAAGCGACAAATTCCATGTTGCCAATATCATCTTGAACAATGACTTGTAACAGTTATTATTGTATATATATATATATATATTTTTATGTGATCAAACTTTTTTCAATTGGCCTAGTAGACCAAGGTATGATAATTCATTCTATGATTTATGTGGCTTCCCTAAAAGATCCTTCTTAGTAAAAAGCATAGCCATGATCCAAAAAATCTTGTCACAGAAACTATCCAAGTACATATCTATAGATTTAAATATTGAGACTATATAAAACTACAAGTATTTAATGATAGAAATGCGTTGAAATCATTATATACATCAGCACCCCATAAAGCAACTAAGATCAACATATCCACAATGATACAAATGTTGTCAAAATCATCATTTATATTAGTACATAAAGCAACGAAGATCAACTTTGTTTCATAGGTTAAAATACTGAAGTTATATAAATCTAGGAGAATTCAATGATAAATATCTTTCCTAATCATTATATATATAAGAAGATAAAGCAACTAAGACCAACCGATCAAACAAAATATATATTAACTACAACAAATGAAATAAAGTGGATTGATTTGATCACTAAAGTTGTCTTCCAATAAACAGTTTACTTTGAAGCATTAAGTAACCAAAAGTGGGACGTGGATAGTTTATCAAACATTTATCGTATAAGGAGCCGACCAACAAAAGGTTTTCTTCTTAAGTATCATTGTGTAATCAAAACATGAAATCTTTGCTTAGGCTTTTAGCTATTAAATATTAGGAGAAATATCCAATCCAAAATTAATTAATTATTGTAAAAAAATAACTCTTGCAATTAAATATTTAACATGTATTTCTGTTAAAATAATGAGATTTATATGCCTTTGACAAGTTGAACGTTACATACATAAAATGACATGCACAACATTTTGTGTAAGGAATTCAACTTTTTCAAAACATTGAAATTGAAATTAAAAGTTTCTCAATTTAAGGGATCCAAGAAAAAAGAGCAAGAGATGGTAACTAGTAGTAGATTATTCAATCTATTCTAAAACTTGGAAGAATAGCACTCTAGTGAAAGGCTTTTCAGCAACTTCCTTACCTGCAACAACCATCAAAACCTAGCCAATTTGCTTTTTTCTCAACATCATAAAAAAACCTAAGACCATTCTGCAGTAACCACAAATTAATAGAATAACACCAAGAAAAACGTGATCATGAAATTTCATACTTCAATATTTAAGACAAAAGAGAATGCCCTTTGATTTAAAGTTGAAAAATCAAACATTTGGTGGGTGTCCTCACTTAACAAACCTGACCAAACTCTAATCTAGCCAATTTACTTTATTCTGAACATCATAAAATACTCAAAACCAATCAGCAGTAACCACGAATTAATAGTATAAGTCCAAAAAAATCTCATCATTAAATTTCATGCTTGAATGTTTAAAACAAAAGAAAGTACCATTTGATTTTAAGTTAATGGATCAAACATTTGGTGGGTGTCTTCATTTAACAAACCTAACCAAACTGTTGGCTCCATTGAAGAAGTAGGTATTAAAGTATAAAATAGATTGATCATAACTGAGTTTCAAAAGCTAACAGTTTGTGCATTGAGTTGCATTAATGGTCTTAAAATCATGGTAATGAAAAATTTTCTTTTCACCTATCGTGAATTAAAAATGTGTTTAATAATACGATAGTGTTGATTCTAAAAGCAGGCTTTTACTCTAGACACATTGGTAAAGAATTTGGGGTCTTTTTATGCTCTTTTCTTTAACCTGAACATGTGAGAGAACAAAAAGATGTTAATGGCAAAAAGAAAAAGAAACTAAGGAATGAAAATAGGGCATATATGTAGGTGAAAAAGAAAAAATGAAAAGAGGTAAGGAGAAAAAGGATGTCTATTGGAAAAAAATATGGTAAATACAAATCAAACTATAATTTCTGGTTGAAATTAATTAGGAATTACATTCGCAAACTATATTCTACTATATGGTAAAGGTTTAATATAGATTTTAATTACTGATCTCACTTGCTATTATATACTAGAATTCGACCCCTACTTCGCGTTGGATTCCAAAACAAATTGTGTAATAAATTATGCATGTAAATCTATATTCATAAAAGATGTTGATTTTTTGAGCAAAAGTTGTACGTGCAAATCAATCTTTTTTTTATATATTAGGAAGCATTCATTTATATATATAAAATTTGTTTTTGGTTTTAAGACCAATTTTGAGGTGTTTATACTTCGTTGATTT